GCATAGAACTAGTGGGACCGAATCCATGTGTCATTAGCATAGAAAGAAGTTGTCGAGGATTTAAGAGGCCGCCAGGAATAACAGGACACTTAAAATGATAATTACGGGTTTCCAAACGACTAATGCCATTGTCACACACACGCCCAGTGAGAAAATATACGGGACGTTAATAACAATGACTTAGATATTCAGAATTTGTTTTGCACTTTAACCGGCATTTTATAGGACCGAATATATTACGAGATTAAAGACACAAATATCGAAAAATTAACATCCCGAATTGCGCAAAGAAATCAAAACGAAACTATTTCATTTAAAAATAACATTTATTTTCAAATCAAACGTGATAAAAAATGTCATATAAATTTCTGTTCATTATCATAGGTCCATGATTTAAAAACAAATGTTTGACTTTAAATGGAAAAAATATATTTTGACAACCCCATACGAAAAACTGTAAGACCGGCAACGTTGCAAATATTATTTTTAGATTGGCCACCGCTTCGGTCCTTTTGGGAAATCCGGTATATTAGTACAGACTTTTTCGGTATATTTTAACGCCCTGTCTACAAAGGGCCCATTGCAATATCTACGACAATCCCGGGTGTTGCCAATATATTAACATACGGCTTTATTTTATTTTTAATCATTGATGACAGTTGTGTCACCGGTTTAAGCGAATTAACGACAATTACGGTCAACCGCTTCATTCCTTGCTTTTATTAACAGTTAAACATATTTTCCCACACCATTCCGTTTTCGGTATTATATGTTAGCGGTCGAATATTTTCACATAGATCGGCATGAAACTTTCAGTATCTTATCGACATTTATTAAGGTCTACTTCGGAAAGGTAAAGGGGAGGTAGGGCACGTAAAGTAATTAAAAATCTTTGATGCAAAGGAACTACAGTGACCCGATGGATACTTAAACTCCTTCACTTGTTTGGCATTGATTTCATTACAAAATTCTTTCTTTCATTCATTTTCATTGTGGATCGGTAGTGTTTTGGCAGAATTCTCGTAAAAAGGAAAGAACTTTAACAGAAATACAAATTAGGCATTATGTATACAATAATTTAATAATTACAAAAAGTCATAATATTCTTCGTCATTTAATGAACTTTCATCTGCTTTTGACACACATTTTCTCCTTTTCATTCTCGGGTGTCATTTCCTAAGGTCTTCCATTTCATATTTGTGTTGTGTACACCGTGTGCCAAATAAAAAGATCCACTATACGATCTGGAAACCCATAGGAAATACAAAAAAAGTTTCGTACAAAAGTTTCTTGAACTCTCCCGAAGATTTAAAATATTATAATTTTGTTGATACAGGGTGTCCGAAAAGTGTCCCCTCCGACATCAACTTTGGTATTTTAAATGGAACACCCTGTATACTTCGAAATTTTTTTGATCCCTCGTTAAAATAATGGTCTCTTTCTTAAGAAATTTCTATTCGAATTTTGCATACTTTACTCAGAAATTGAGGTTATGTGTTTTTTTTTATATTTTGATTGCCCCATATAAAATAGTGTTGTGACGCTACGGATCCAGGTATCGCAACGAAAATTTAACCACAGACTATGAAGATGATACACTACTCAATCAGTTTGACAGAAGCGTCTCAGCTTAAACAGAGTGTCCCAAAGAGGTGGTGCCGTTTTGGCGAATTTAATTAACAAAATCTAAGGATTTTAAACTATATTTTTATTCAAATATCAATTCTAGGACAAAAAATAAGGTAAGTTTTGTAATTTATCTTATATTTAAATTTTACTTAATTTTTGAGATATTCGAGGTTTAAGATAACACCCGTATAAATTCTGGTTGAATTTAAAATTGCCCACATTAGGTCACTTGTCGGCAATATTAGGTATTTTTTAAATAGCAAAAAACATGATACTACTTCTTTTAAAGATATATAATACTCCACATATATGAATAAAACCTATTGCTAACAATACAGGCAAAAAATCGATTCTATATTACACACAATAATAGATTTAATTAAACTTCAGAATTCATATTTTAAAAAACAAAAATAAATAATTAAAGTTTATAGATTAACCAAAAAACTATAACTTATTTAAAATACAAATAAAATATATACAAGCAAAAAACTTGACGACTATGAATAGAAATATGAAAAACCGCAAAAACAAACAGAAATGTCAAAGTATGTTTATGGTGGTGGTGGTGTTATCTTAAAACTTCGAATATCTCAAAAAGCAAGTAAAATTTAAATATAAGATAAATTACAAACTTACCCTCTTTATCCTAGAATTAATATCTGAATAAAAATATAGTGTGGTCCAATTGAAAATCTTGAGACTTTGTTAATTGTATTCGCCAAAACGGCACCATCTAATTGGGATTATTGTATTATGTGAGTGAATCATTTTCTTAATATGTGGTTAAATTTTCGTTGCAATACCTGTAACGGTAGCGTCACAACACAATTTTATATGGGGCAATCAAAAAAAGTACATACATAACCCCAATTTTTGAACAAACTATGCAAAATTAGAATATGAATTTCTTAAGAATGTGACCTTTATTTTAACCAAGGATTCAAAAAATATTAAAATGTGCATTTAAAGTAACAAAGATTGATATCTGGGGGGGGGGGGGCACTTTTGGGATACCCTGTATCAACAAAATTGTAATATTCAACCGAGGTCGCTTTTATCAAAATAAATAAGAACTAAAAGTTCAGATTTTCACGAAATTATATATTATGACATGACAATTGTTTCGACAACACCGTGTCGTTATCAAATTTTGAACATTTGATAAAGACACGGTGTTGTCGAAACAATAGTCATGTCATAATATATAATTTCGTGAAAATCTGAACTTTTAGTTCTTATTTATTTTGAAAATTATTATATCTTAAATCTTCGGGAGAGCCCAGGAATCTTTTATTCGAAACTTTTTTTCGTATCTCCTATTGGTTTCCAGATTGTATGGTAGATCGTTTTATTTGGCACACGGTGTACATTTGCTATATGTAATAGTTCCTTTTTTCTTCTCTAGGCGTCGAGAGTGATAACTTTAATACGAAAAAGTTGTAAATTAAAATATAAAATATAAGACGAAGAACACACTTAATATATATAGAGAAAGTAATACCTAGCTATAAAATGTTTTTGGAAAACTTTGAAGGAAATGAATTTTCGTGAAGAAAAAAACCACTTTTAATAGAGACTGGACTGGACGAAATTTGAGCAAATGAAGAAACTACTCGAGATTGTAAATTTTAATAAACCTCGTTTTGAGTGCAATTACACGGAGTGCACAAAACAGAAATACCCACTTTCTGGCTTCGTTTCAAAACAAAATATAACGGTACTCCCACCTTCCGCTATAGCACTTTGAATGAAACCCTATAAAAACGGTATGTGCGCAATTATAATTTATATATTTATTATAATTACATATTACATCATTGTTACTTCTATATAAATGTTTATTTACTTGACCTTCGAATAATTAATATTTCAATTATATATCCGTCTTTATAATTATAATTATGTATATTTATTATTATATTTATTATTCTAATAAACTCCCTGTACTAACAGCGCTGTCACGTTACTTTCATTTTCCAATCTGGTCTTTCTATTGTATGAGAATTCGTGTGATCTTAATTTATGAAGGATTGAAGATGTGCAAGTCGTAAAAAATAAGATACGGAAAACCATCAATCGAATTTATCGCAACTTTGCCATATAACCTTTAAGTTGTTCACCCTTTTTAACACAATTTATTACTTTTTCGCATACTACTGAATCAGCCGTGAGATATTCTATCTATCACCTATGGTCGACACAAAATTTGAGCGAAACTGGATTGAATTTATTACTCTACACTGTTCTGAAATAGCCTATAGACTTGACAGTACACGTCAACGTCAGATTTAACCATTTATATGCAATGTAACGGAAAAGGAAATGCGTGCATATTGACGAAGCGCGACGAAACGAGCAACATGCAATCATCTATTAAAAAAAAAAAAAAAACAAACAAAATTAAGGGCATTTAAATGCGAGAAATCGCGTATTCATGCGTCTCGAATTGCACAAACTTTCTTCGATACACGCACAATTTCGAATTCTATGATGCGCGGATGCTTATTAACAACCCGGTAAAGTCCTGACCCAACCATGGACATTAAAATTTGCTGCCGTTTTCTCTCTACGTGTATACGCATTGTATCATTGTAAAAAGCTATCAAGTTCCGGCGAACCACTAGGCGGCAGCACGATCATTCCGATCTACGAATTACGTCACTCCGGTGATGTCGCAGTCATTAAGCCAGAAAAAGACCACACACTGTTGTAACAATGAGCAAGCTGTTACTCGTCACGGGGTAGATCAATTGCCGCCGTTATCTGTAGACTTACACTTACGAAAAAAGTTTTGGGTTGAAAATTTATTTCTCAAGTAATAATTATTAGTCGAATAATATAAACGGTATGCAGTTATGGTAGATATACCTAGAATTCAATGTATTGTGCTTATGCAGTCACGTCAGAATAAAAGAATCAAAATCTTAATTTCATAAAAACAGTCAAATCAATGAGAAAACTTTCTATAACAACACATTAGTTATTGAACATTATTAAGAAAAGATATCCTGACATTAAATTGGAACCAGCAAGATGTTTTTTGCGATTAAGGTTATTCAGGATTTAATCGAAATGTTGGAGCAAATAAGAACCTTATTTTAACTTATGAAAAGAGACTTCATAGTGATATTAATAATGTGCACGAAATATTTTCAACTAAAGGTACTTTTTCATGTTGATAACTTTTTATTTTCCATGAAAATATAATAGACGAATGTTTTCTTCAAATTTTTACAGTCAGCTCAAAATTTAAGAGGTTTGTTTAATGTATATGTTCATATGAACTTATCTTCTTCAAATCAGTATTATTGCGACGAAAGGAGAATAAATGTAATAATTATTAATAACTATAATATTAAAGTACCCACCTGACTCAGTCCCACTCTGTAGCTGGACATTTCCAGATCCATCGCGAGCACCATGTCCTCCACCGCTCTCCGTTCATCCAGTACCGAAGTGGTCGCCTTGGTTTCGCCAGCGAGTATCCCGAATTTTCTGCGGAACTCGGCCAGAGGCATGAAACTCGGGAAACCCTGCTTATAGAGCCTTACAGAGTCTAAAATCTGAGCTCCTCTGATCTGTAACAATGACATTCGCAACATTTGTATTACTTTAGGACGCCCTATAGGTCCATTATTTATTTATTTATATACACTCAACAGCACAATTCCAATTATAGAGCAAATAAAAACGTTACAGTGCCACCGGAAGAAAAAAAAACTCAGAAAAGAAGAGAAGAGAAAACTATAAATTCTAGCAAATGCAACGCATAAGTGGCAGCTGTACATATCACATTGGTCCCTGCATTTGTTATATGTACGGCAAATTCTATTAGGCCGCGAATATTTACGACATTAGTATTTTGGATAGCAAAAGAAAAGTCATAGGATGTCTTAACCTATTCCTTGGAACAAGAAAATTTATTTTTTGCAACATGCTTGAAGAATCTATTTGATATTAACAGGTTTAGAAATACAGGGGAGCTCTGCTTATTTACAGCTCTCAGCTATTGATACAAGTGAAAAGTTTTCACATAGTAATTGATCAGGTATCTCATTTTCGAGGAACACGCTGTCAGACAGGTGTGTAGTTAATACAATAAAGTACGGCGACAAAACTACAAAGGAGAACTCTTATTTGGAACGTATTCGAAGTATTAATAGTTTTATACTTGCAATGCTATTGAATTAAAGTAACTTTCTGATGATTAAACAAACACAATACGACAAATATGGACATAAAAGACAATTTTTTATCAAATGAAGTTAGTACATTGGGTTTCACACGATAGTATAGTAGTACTCAGTTGATAATCATGTTACAGAGAATCAAACTACAAAGCATTTGAAGGGATTGCCCGTTGTAATTTCATACTACATGATCAGCGTAGAGCAAATGCAAAACATCAATGTCTTTTATGAATACTAAAAAAAATTAATGGCTCCAGAATGAACCTCTGATGGACTCCAAATATGGCATACGACCATAACAGTTCACATTTTGAGGGTGATTTGTTAAGCAGGTCTGAAATAATAATGTCAGATCCTCAGAGGACTTCAAAATACTATAAAGCTCGTTGCAAAATACTATGGTCAAGCATGTCGAAAGCTTTGGGCGAACCAGTGTAGATTGATAATTTTCTTCTAAAAACTACGTAATAATTATTTAATGAAACGATTATCAACGATTTCAACCTTAATGCAGACAATAGATAACCCCAAACTGAGTGAAAACCATTTCTCACCTGAGATCTTAGCAGAGGCACGTTGATGAGACCCTCCTCGGAATTACCGGAGCTCGCCTTCACGTTAATCAAAGAAGCGCTTGCTTCGCAAAGTCCGGCGTTGTGCTGGGGCAGCACGCAGTGGACGAACCTCAGCTTCGTTCGCCTCAGCGTTTCCACTAGGCCGTCGACCGTGAACTTCGTCTGGAGGCAAACGCTCTTCCGTTTGATAGCGGCCGTTCCGCCGGTGAACGTTCTACGAATGCTGGAAGCCCTCCTCAATGATTGGGAACCGTCCAGTCCTACCACGGAGCCGCTGAAACTCGACGCGCCCAAACCTCTCACTGCGACGAACAATTTACTAATGTCTTCCCTGAAATGAACCAGGGAACTTATTGAGTATCATTAGTACACATAGAAAGCGCCTAAAGGGTGCATCGGTCAGAGCAAAACGTCACCTGTAGGAAATTGTAAAAAGGAACTTCCCAAAGGAAAAGAAATATTCGCTCATTAAAGATCGACTATAAATTCACAATCGCCCTTCATTTTTTTTGGGATATGTTTGCGATCAAAGAGAGGCAAAAATTGAGACTAACTGCAAACTAAGGCACATTAATTTGGTATAAGTATGACTCGGAACACCTATGAGGATCCTCGCCACCGAATATAGGAGATTTAACTTACTTGCAACTTTCCTGAAGAATCGCAACAGCCGTCCTCGCGACGGGATTCTCCCTGCTTTGTTTGAGCCACCCCTTCGCACTGTAGAGTACAGGGTTTGTGCCCTGCAGGTGCTGCAGAATAAACTGACTATTGCCCGGCGCTTTCCGCAGCAACAACTGATGGTCCCTTTCTCCGTAGTGCGTGAACAACCTTTCCAAGAACGAATCGTCGCTGCCGGTCGGATAGAGAGACTCTTCGTCTAAAAGCCACAGCAGGCCCCTTCTGTCCGTTTCGCGAAGATCCGTTTGCGAGGTCCTTATCACCGTATTTTGGGCTGTTTTGTCTAAAAGATTGACCAGGGGCAGCGGATTGATCAGGTTCTCGTTTTCGTTCTGGTCGTAGGTAAACTCTACGTTCTCTTGGACGTAGCGATCTTTCGGCGCCACCAAGTTTGTGTGGTGGAAGAGTAGTTGGAGTCTCTCTTGGAGGTAGTTATGGCAGAGGTCCTCGAAAGATGCGCCGGTCTGACGACCGCAAGTGGCCGGGTTCTGAAAACCCGGAGCGTCAATCAGAAGAACTGACGTCGCGGTGTAGCTATTGGCAGAAATAGATCTGTTGATCAGGTTCGCGACGCAGTTGAACACTTCTGAGTAGAGACCCATCGCCATCCCTTCTACTGCTTCGATACCAACGGCTTCTCTTTCGAGACCCTTTTCAGTTGGCGACGGCGTCCTAAAAGGTGCCCTTGGTGCGTTAGGGGTAACCATGCCTCCCGAAGCGAGACCAAACACGACTCGCGATAATTCTTCTACGGTCGTGCCTAAAAGATTCGCCGCCCTTTGAGCGCATTGCGGATGGGCGAATTGGTAACGAGTGTTGCTGCCGACTGCAAAATAAACTGTCTTAATCTAAAAGGCACATTTACGAAAAATGATACCTTTAACTGCTCCGGCGCATCCCAAATGAAAAATGGCAGCCAACACCGAGAATAACACCTTTTGTTCGGCGTCGGTTACCCCCAACACGGTCAGGGCGCCGCAAGTTTTGACGAACTCCTGCTGCGCTCTCTGCTTATCCTCGTGCTTCTGCAGTAGACTCATAAAGAAGTTATTTTCGTTCCCGGAAATGTTGTCCAGGTATAATTCCTTCCTAAGATGACCCTCGACACCGCAAAGGAGTCTATGCATAATGTGGAAAGTCGTTTCGCTTTCCACTTTCCTTACGACGCGCGTTTTCTCTAGCAGGAGAATCTGAACGCTGGCCGAAGCTATGGCGCCGCTCTGGTCGAAGTCGACGCTAAATATCTGAGTGAATCTGGTAGCGTTGGTGTTCATTGCCGTCTTACAGTTGCCGAAACCTTCGAGGACGGTCCAAAGGGCCGTCAACTTCTCCAAGTTGAGCACGTTATTGACGGTACCGGCAGCGGTCACAAGGTACTGAACGCAGTGGCGAAAGTTGGTGGTTTTTCCGGAGCCGGATCGGCCGAGAAAGACTAAGGACTGGTCCCTGCGGCTCGACAACATGTTCTGATAGGCCGACTGAGCCATCGAGTAAATGTGCGGCGGCATGTCCTCGGATTTGCACCCTTTGAAAAGGGCCACTACCTGAAAAATTACCAAACTAGTACCCGCTACGTGCGGCAGTTCAGGAATAATGACCTTTTCGGAGTATATGGCTAGAGGCGCCATGGGGTTGACGACCAGAAGGGTACCGCTTCCCGCATAGGTATGAATCAAATTGGTAGAGTAACGTTGTCTCAAGGTATGCAACACACTCGATTCGTTAAGGTGTCTTAGTGCCGCTAGGTCTTCCGCTCTGTCGAATTGCGGAGGATTCGCCTAGATTGGAAACGTATTAAATAATTGCAGTACAAGAAAAAGTACCACCACGTACCCGCTCTATATCGTCTTCGTCGACGCTTAGTACGTCATCGGTCTCCTCAAGACAGATGCGGATTTTCCCAGGCTCCACGGCGTTGGGGTCGGTTTCCTTTTTGGCCGCAGTAAATCCGCCCCGGTGCATTAGCCACACCCTCTCGGAGTCCAGCCATCGCCTTTCCTTTTCTAAGTGTTCTTCCGACTTTGCCTGTCGAAGAAACAAAAAATTGTGTTGAATGTATCAGGGAGGAAACTAATGAAAAGAGAGTTACCAATTAACGATTCAAGAAGTCCAACATTTTAACAAATTGCTTTACGTTAAGGAAAGCTGTAGTGTGCTATTCGGATGATGCGCTGAGAGGATAACCTAGCTTTTCAATCAAGAAGTTAAGTTATTAAACGTGATACCTAACATCAATGGAGATTTAACGAACGATTGAAATTGGAAAAAGGAAGTACAAATCACGAAAGCTTCTCTAAAAGATATGATATGTAAGGACAAATATGTAAAAACAAATAAGAAGGATATATAAAAGAGCAGCTAGAAACAAGATCATATACCAGAAAGACCATGCAATTGATGCACACTGTGACAATTAAAACAGCAAGATTCGTGTTAAGAAAATCACTAATCATAGTAAAAAATTCCTTAGAAAACAAAATGGAATCAAAGACGTGACAAAATGGGTTGAAATAGGAAGAACATTCTGAAATAAACACATAAAGAATATCCAGAGTACGAAGGCTGGACATCCTCATCCGGAGAAAGTTTGCTTTACTAGAATAAGCATGCGATAGCCTACTATATGGATACTATATTGAAACCAGAAAAAGAAAAATAGTTATGAATTTTGTACGCCTTTTCGCTGGGTAGTTGAAAAAAGACAAAACGTTGGGTATTTATTAATCAGAATCGATTCGTGATTCGCGCAGAAAACCAGAAAACTACTCAATTAAAAAAATAAAACCATTTGATTGATTATTGTGTGTTCTACACTATGTGTGTTCACATCATATTAGGAAAAATGAACCACAACTCCAACGCAAAGGTGAATTGAAACTGGGGTTATTGTATAGTTAACTAAATTGCCTCTTAACATTTCTTTTCTTAGTTTGATTTCGTTTCAAAATCAAATATAATCATTTTTTGGCTTCATTATGTGTGTAGAGTTCAAAATATATATGCATCCGTACAAGGTGTTTATATTTTGCTACAGCTAAATCTTAAACAGAAAAAAAAATTACATAAATACAAAAAATGTAGGGTTTTTCTATGTATTATCTTTTGGTGCAGAATAAAAAAAATGAGTTGCAAATCTATCAAAATATCATAACTTACTTACATTATTTTTAGATGTCTTTTCAATTTTTACGTTTAAATTGTAGGTATATGACTTTTAATTTGTATTGCTTACTTTTAAAAAATGCCCGATAAAAACAAAGTTTTGTTTAATTCTTTCGATGTAACAATCAAATAACTTAATTTTATTTATCTGATTTCATAATTCATATCATTCATATCATATCATATCATTTCATATCGCCCAACATTATTTATGCAAATTTGAAAATTCTTTAAAAATTTCCTTCTTACACTGATATTGATATCTGCTATTTAATCTTACACATTCATTTTATTCCTTTACTCGTTGACTATTAAAGCATTATAAAATATCATTATCCTCAGTTTTATTTCTTAGACAATGTCTTCTCTATGTTTCTAAAGCTCTAGCTGCCTAAAATTTTCTAATCATATATATGATATGTATTTTTCGTTGATACTCCTCTACCTGGAGAAAGCGATATTAATTAGGAAGCATGGCAGTTTTATATAATTTTGTTTAAAATTTTATGGTAACGCCATCTAGCGTCAGAAAATTAGTTCATCCAGTCATGATTGCGAGAATGAATACAGTTTCGATATTTGCTATGGAAATTTGCAACTCTCTTTTTCATTAGTTTTCTCTATGATAAATAAGTTAAACAGAATATTTTTTGGACCGGTCCTTACAAAGTGCCATTGTATATATATTCTTGAAAAATAGAAGGCGAAAAAGTGGTAAGTTGTCCTATTAAAGCTAACTACTTCCCACGGTTTGCTAATTACCGCACAACAAGTTCGAATTTTAGTGAAAAATAAAACCTAATAACAACTGTCGGCATAAAATAATTTTATGGCCATTCGATGCCCCGAGCGACCTACATATAACCATGGGTTCAAAGTGCTATTCAGCAGTCGATTCGCTCCGAAAGTTTTACAACTAGGTAAATATGCTCCTCGGATATTGCTTAAGCGTTGTTTATATTTTCCAAAATACTTTCAACATTTTTTCGTTTTTCCTTGCGGTATTTGCAACAAACACGACAAAAACCAATAGATAATAAAATTATACCAGATAATTTACAAATTTTTGTCTCAAAAGTGATAAAAATTGTAATTTTTAAATGGAACTCCCTGTACATTATGACAATTTTAGTTTGTGAGGTTTGTAAAACCTAAACCTTAACAATTAAATAAACTTAAAATATATGTCGCTTTAATTTAACCGATACTTGGAAAGTATTTAAATTCTGTAAGTGAAATTTGCAGCGAAACGTAGCAAATTTCAGCATCAACGATTGATAAAAAAAAATTGGAGACTATCACCATTCGAGATATCGTTTAGAGTACCTGGTTGTTGCAGCTCTTTGGTCATTCAACATACCAGAACTTGTAACTGTTACTAGTAATTTTATTGATTTGATCAAAAGTTGTATTACCAACAAATCCAAAATGTAAAAAACACAGCCTGCTAATCTCTACTTAGAGAACTAGTATGGTGCCGCAAGGGTGTATCTTAGGATCCTTGTCGTTTAAGATTTACACTAATAACTGCGGCACTGTTTAAAATACATCACTTACTTTTAAGTCGACTATTCTATTCTCTTTTCCCTAACGATCGGTCTGATGCCAATGCTAGTAATGATTTAAACAATTTTCTTCTACATTCGCAAAATAATAATAAATGCAGATAAGTTTTGGTTTTCGTTAAGTACTAAGATCTGGTATAGGCGAACATGATTATAAATTTTTATGGCAATAACTAGAAATTTGGCTCTTTAACTTGATACTAATTTACGAAAGCTTATTTTTTAGTCAAAAAATTGTATTGTAACATTATATACATGTATCTAATCTAGCTAAAATAGATAGAAACAGAATGGAGAAAGCAGAGAAGAGTTACCTCCGATTTATTTTCACAAACCAAAATTTTATCCAGTAGTCTCCTAAAAGATGCAAATGCTTAATGTGAGCAATAGTTCTCTGCATTTTTTTCATAAAATTGTGTTTTATAACTGTCCCCCGTACTTGACAAATAAAATATCTTATAGGAGAAATGTCCATTCTTTAATTTTAAGGTCTAGAGGATTTATATCTTCACCTCAGAAAGAGAATAGTACTTTTTAAAATAGGGTGTTTTTTTAATATTTATAAGCATTATAATAATGTGCTAGCTTTACTAAAAGATTTTGTAATTTCTAAGAAAAGAATGAAAAATCTCTTTTTTGTTTCATTCATATTTCAGCTTTTCTCTTCTCTGCTAAATAAATTACATACATATATATAATTTGTTTTTAGGTAGTTTAAATATAACTTTGCAGGCTTGTGAATATATTTATTTCAGCTTTCAGCTCCTTTTTTGCAGTCCATGTTACAATTTACGATTGTATGTGATCTAACTTTCTACTCCCTATAAGTTTGTATGAATTATTTCAAAATAAATATATTTATTATTAATAACATTTAAACCAATGAAAAAAAAACAGAAGCCATAGAATTTTTATTTCGAAAACTCCAAACGGATGAGTTAAAAAATAGGGCGTTCTGTTTGAATATATAACACGAAACGTAGGTATAAAGCTGCATTTTTTTGTGTCGGACACGGACCTCAGATGCGTGTTGGTCCGTGCATTTTCACTTATACTGCGCCACGCCGTATATAGCACAGACCTTGGCTCTGTCGCCGTTGACCCACTAACCGACATCGTACAAATGCGCCATTTTGCCATATTTAGACGATGCCGTGATCGCCTTTGCCGCCATTATTACACTTTTCGAATGACGCCGACTGCTGTACGCATCGACATTTTCTATTTCCTTATTCTATTATAGTATCCCTTGTCGGACATTCGCAATTAAATCGTTAACATAAATTTAGATCGCTATATTATTCTTATGACGCCCAAATCTATTTAAAGCTCACGCGAAATGCAACATCAGACGTTCCGGTTAAAAGCTTCCCGGTCTGCGTCAAGATAACCCAAATCAAAATTTCGCGATTGGTGTTATGGTACGACTCCTGCATTATATTCCGTGCCGGTCTGAAACCTATTACCATCTGCCACGTTTACCAAATGCTTAACGATTCAGCAGAGCAAATAAAACAACTCGTCATATCGAATCGATTACCGAAACTCCAGCGATAAACTGTCTCAAAGTTGGCTTTTGACGCATAAAAACCAACTACAACCCTATAAGTTAACCATTTCGTAATCCTTACCCGATTGGTTTTTTGTCGCAGCAACTCCTGGAGATCTTTAAAAGTGTTAGCCTTGTCGGTACTATGGAAAAATCCTGCCATTCTTCTGTAGGTGCTCGTGCACGCCAATTCATGGTACTCCACCGGTTTAGTTTTACCTCTGCGAATACTTTTCCTAAAGCTGCCGCGGATCTGCATTATCGGGGTCTGATTATCCATCTTCGCAGATCGCCGAAACGAACCGTTCCGCCCCCGTTCGAAAGTACTGCCAGTACCATCGTCCCCAGCGTTAGATTTTTTCCTCTCGTCATGGTTTCTCCTCAGTCCGCCGATCCAATTGGTCTCCGCCGATTCGAACACGTCCAAATGCCTAGACTTGGCGTTCGACGCTTTGGTACCGCTCTGGAACAACCTGGCGCAAATGTCGTTCTGCTTCGGTACCGCCTGACTTTTGGATTTGTTTTCCACGGACTCGGTGGAGTCGGACTCGCTATAATTCTCCGAGCTAACGCTAGCTGGCTTCGGTTTCGGCGGTACCGGAGGCTTATTACCGGCGCCCTTGGACGCCCTCAATGACGAGGTTCTCTGAATGGGGCTCGGCGGTACTTTTTGCTTATTGTCCACCGAGTCTAAGGAGTCGGTTTCGCTAAAGTTTTCCGAGCTGTTACTTTTTTTGGTCGGTACCGCC